AACGTCTGGTTTACTCTCCTGATTATACTCTGAAACAACGCCTGGTTTACTTTCCTGATTTTACTCTAAAACAACGCCTGGTTTACTTTCCTGATTTTACTCTAAAACAACGTCTGGTTTACTCTCCTTCGCGAGCCCAGTTAACTTAATTGCTTATTGAATCTTTATATGTGATTTTAAATTCGGAATTTTCATGAACTCACTCACTTCAGGTCTTGTCAAATGTTTGGAGGCAGGGAACTGAAGACATAGTAACCCCATTTCCAACATCCAACATACTCAATGAAATAATCCAACAACCCTAAAGCCACAACCTCTGATTTTTTAAGAGTTTTCTTATGTGGGAACATCCCCGCAAGTCTGTGGCGGTTCATAGCCTCAGACAAAAAAAAAAAAGATCCCAATCGTTTCCGTGAGTAACCTACATACCCTAGTAACGCTTCTAAAGAAAGCACATAAAAAGAGCTTGTTCTTCTGTAACGTATTGCTTAGCTCAGTGGTCGACATCCTTTTTATGCCTCGTGCCCCTAACTGGTATAAGTTATTAGAAAATACTTCGAGTGGTATATGTTAACATAAAACATAATTCAAAACGAGGGATGAACCAACAGTATACGAACGTTCAGTGCAGGCTAATACAATAGTTTGATCATGTGGGATATATATATATTTTAATTTTTTTTTTTGAAATATTCTCCAGTAATCTCCGCACTACCCTGAGTATGAGTACCTCATGTTGAGAGATACTGGGTGAACTTTTAATACAGTTGTATTTTAGAAGAACGAGCTGCGGAGTTTGGTTAATATTTTACAACAGAAATATTAATAACGACCTTTTCAATTTGTTTTCGGTATCTTTTGAAACATTCCTGACATTCGTCCACGTAAATACAATAAACAGATTCGTCGTTGACTTTTGGAAATCATGCATGGATTTTTGATTCACGTTTTAATATGTTTCCCTTCGTGCGTGTAACTGATACTGGAATAACTCAGAGTAAAAACTGAATCTGGAGATTTCAAGCTGAAATATTTAGATTTGAAACAAATAGAAAGATTTAAACTAAAACACAGACATAACGGTTCAAACTAAAACTTAGATAGGAGGGTTCAAACTAAAACATAGATAGGAGGGTTCAAACTAAAACACAGGCATAACGGTTCAAACTAAAACATAGATAGGAAGGTTTAAAGTAAAACACAGACATAACGGTTCAAACTAAAACTTAACTAGGAAGGTTCAAACTAAAACACAGACATAACGGTTCAAACTAAAACATAGATAGGAGGGTTCAAACTAAAACACAGGCATAACGGTTCAAACTAAAACATAGATAGGAAGATTTAAAGTAAAACACAGACATAACGGTTCAAACTAAAACATAGATAGGAAGATTTAAAGTAAAACAGATTAAACTAAAACATAGATAGGAAGGATCAAACTAAAACATAGATAGGAAGATTTAAAGTAAAACATAGATAGGAAGATTAAAACTAACACGTAGATAGGAAGATTAAAACTAACACGTAGATAGGAAGGATCAAACTAAAACATAGATAGGAAGATTAAACTAAAACATAGATAGGAAGATTTAAAGTAAAACATAGATAGGAAGATTAAACTAAAACATAGATAGGAAGATTAAACTAAAACATAGATAGGAAGATTTAAACTAAAACATAGATAGGAAGATTAAACTAAAACATAGATAGGAAGGATCAAACTAAAATATAGACAGGAAGATTAAACTAAAACATAGATAGGAAGAATCAAACTAAAATATAGACAGGAAGATTAAAACTAAAATATAGATATGAACAAACCATACAGGCGTTAAATAATTAACATTAGTAACGCTTTAACTTTTGATAAAAATTTCAACATTCATCTTGTAGTTTACGTCAAAATGAACCAGACGTTGGTTGTAAATTACTTTGTAATTAGGACGACAATGTTTCCTTGAAATACATAACGCAGGTTTTCACCAATCATTTTATCTAACTTTAATATCAAATACTTTAAAAACATTTTGTGTGTGAAAATAAAACATTTGTTCTATAACAATTATAAGTTCGCTAAGCGTTGGAAGTGAATTTTGGAAAGGTACGTTTATTGAGAAAGTTTGGCCTCATGGTTCGGTGAGTAAAAGATTTATAAATTAGGTCAAGAATAACTGGTATAAGGAAATTCACACTTTGTTCATAGGTCGTTCCTTTCCCCGAATTTAAAGATGGAGGTCACCAAAAATACCAACAAACTAATATTCACCTACTTCGTTTAACTTGCTCTTTCTTCAAACGTACATCTTTTCCTGGATTATTTACTCTTGAATCATACAATACAGACAAGTCTATCTGTAGCTGACCTCTGAATTCTTTGGACGTATGTGAGGTTATGTAGTGTTACAGAAGACTTTGAATGGTGTCCTTGAATCTTATGAGGGTGGTATGTGAGGTTATGTAGTGATACTAAAGATTCTGTATGGTGTCCTTGAATGCTATGAGGGTGGTATGTGAGGTTATGTAGTGATACTAAAGATTCTGTATGGTGTCCTTGAATGTTATGAGGTTGGTATGTGAGGTTATGTAGTGATACTAAAGATTCTGTATGGTGTCCTTGAATGCTATGATGGTGGTATGTGAGGTTATGTAGTGATATTAAAGATTCTGTATGGTGTCCTTGAATGTTATGAGGTTGGTATGTGAGGTTATGTAGTGATACTAAAGATTCTGTATGGTGTCCTTGAATCTTATGAGGGTGGTATGTGAGGTTATGTAGTGATACTAAAGATTCTGTATGGTGTCCTTGAATCTTATGAGGGTGGTATGTGAGGTTATATAGTGTTACAGAAGACTTTGAATGGTGTCCTTGAATCTTATGAGGGTGGTATGTGAGGTTATATAGTAAATTACCAGGAAGGGGGCAGAGGAACGCCTGTAGGGGTCACCTGTTTTAACCACTCACGCCACTTTAATGTAGTGTGTTGTCTGTCAGTCAGTCATTAGACACTAAAATGACGTCACATAAAGAAC